GTGGCACACACACAGAGAGAGAGAGAGAGAGAGAGAGAGAGAGAGAGAGAGAGAGAGAGAGAGAGAGAGAGAGTATGAATGAACAATGAGTTAAGTTTCCAGGTTGTGAGTGGATGATGTATCTTTGGTTGTTTTATTTGTCTATCTGTGCATGTGTATGTCTGTGGTTGGATGGCACCACTGGTAAGGCCTACTTCTTTTCTTTCCATCTTTGTTTCTGTTTGTCTAGCTTTCTATGAAACATCTATCGTCCTTATCTCCCCTTCTTCTTTTTTTATGTTTGTTACTCTCTTGTAACGCCTCTAATCTTCTGGCTTTCATATGACCTCATGCAGTTCCAAGCGCTTTAAAACCTCTACTGAAACTAAACTAAACTTTCCCTGGACTAATAGCTAATTATTGACTTCTATTGTGTCAATGTGCTTCTCTTTACTTAAACGAAGAAACAAAATATATTACATGTATTGTGTGTGAAAGTGTTCAGCGAGTGTGGTACCCCATAAGTCTGCCCTATGTGGGTGGTTGGCGGATGCTCTGGTGTTGTTTGCTCCTTCTCATACATCTATCATCCCCATGGCACCTGTTTTTCTTTGTTCATATTATTCTCTCTAGTAAAGCTCTTATTAAAACTAAAAATCTCTTGGAACATCTCTAGTCTTCAACACTTTTACGACCTGTATGTGTTGCTAGTGCCATAAAACTCTTAACTTAAAGTCTCTCGTTACACTTCTAATCTTTGACACTTATTTATTACCTTCAATATATGTATTGCAAATTCTTTCAAACTCTTCCTAAAACTAAAACTTTCTAGTAACACCACAAATCTTCAGCACTTATATGACCTTTGTAGTATATTGCAAGTCTTGTAAAACTTTTACTTAGTGGGTGGTTAGGGGGTGCTCTGGTGTGATTAGCTCCTTCTTTCCTCTCAAATACCTATCGCCCTTGTCTCTTCTCCTTCTTTTTTGTGTTTGTTACTCTCTTGTAACTCCTCTAGCCTTCGGTACTTGTATGACCTTATTGTGTTGCAAGTGCTGTAAAACTTACTAAAACTAAACTAAAACTTGTACTAAGGCTAAATGTAAACTTTTACTAAAGCTAAAAAATAATCGTGGTTGGTTGGCGGGTGCTCTGGTGTGGTATGCTTCTTCTTTCCTATCAAACATCTATCATCTTTATCTTTCCTCCTTCTTTTTTGTGTTTGTCACTCTCTTATAACACCTCTAATCTTCGGCTCTTACTTATATGACCTTATTGTGTTGCAAGTGCTGTAAAACGCTTACTAAAACTAAAATCCCCCACCCCACCCCACCCCACCCCCTCTGTGTGTGTGTTCCAGCATGAAGAACCGACGTGAAGACACGGGCTGCTGTAGCCGCATCTTCCTCAAGTCCATCATGGTGGTCTTCAATACATTCTTCCTGGTGAGTAGTAGAATTAGGTTGCATTCAGAACGAGATCCTCGGCAAAAGAAGGTGTATTAGACACTTGCCAGATTGTACTTTTCGTGCACTCAACCATTTTAGATTATCCCCCCATGCATCCAAAAAAATACCACCCCCCTAAAACCCCCCC